CACTCCAGTCTGGGTGACAGAGTGAGACTCCAACTCAAAAAAAAAAAAAGAAAGAAAATATATTGTTTTAGTCATATATGTAAACTCAAGTACTTTACTGGACAAACTGATGTTAAATGATCAGAGATGAATGTACAAAAAGAAAATACTTCTAGAAGATGTTTTAATGGGTAAAATTTTTACCACTTACAGCTTATGTCAGAGAATGAACTCCCAAATAACCAGAGAACTTAAGAATGTATTGCCCCCAGTTAATTGAATAGTCAATTTCTTAGATAAATACCAAGCATACCATTACATAGTATTAGTTGCTTCTTTTCCCTAAAGAATCTGAACATACTAAAATAAATACAAAGCAAGAATGGAGATGTACCTGATTTAGTCTTTCTTTGCTTCAAAAGGAATTTTTGGATTTTACAAAATGACTACATGGTCACAATTGACTTCTGTAGATTCACAAGCATAGGAGATTAGGATTCATCTGTGCTGATCATATGGCATAATCTAGAAGATTTGTTCTTAAATAACTCATTGTGGATTTTTTTAAAGTACAAAATTAAGGTTCACTGAGCCTTTCAAATATATGTGTATATATTTGAAACACATATGTAAACATATGCTGCTGCTGGGTTTTCTTCCTCTCCTTCTGTTACCACTGCCCTCTTGTCCCCTCTGCTTATCTGAAATTTTCCCACTCTTCAAGTCTAATGTATCTTCTATTTTCTTCCATTTAAGCTTTCTCTGGCCTCTTTAGCCCACACAGATTTCTTCTATGAACCACTGCAGCACTTATTATCTGAGAAGTAGTAAGACGTGTGGAAGGACATTGGGCTGTGAGTCCATAGACTCTGTCCTTAACCCCTCGAATGGCCTCAGGCAAGCCACGCTACCACCCTGGGTCTTGGTTTACTCCTTTGTAAAATGAGTGGGTTGGACTAGCTGATAAGTTGGCTTTGATGTTTTGTGTATTTATACACCTGTGGTTCAAATATAGGTTATCTCATATATGAATTACTGTGATCATGCTCCTACTTTCTGCAGCTGATCTGAAATGTTACTTTAAAATTCTCTCTCTTTTTTTTGCGTCTACCATGTTATTTTTCTCCTGTAAACATCCCACTGCACTAATTCATTTCATCTTTTTATGATGAGTTTTGAGGACTTCATTCCATGATATTTCTATTTAACCTATGCAATTGCCAGTTCTCTTTTGGTTCTTCTCTTGTTCTTCTACAGTGGACGCTATACCTTTTTTAGAAACAGTACTCATGTATAGAATTACTTAATCTTCCCATTCATCAAGGCTTATTGCAGCTTCATTTAAGAATCTTCTTGGTTTGTTCCTCTTATCCTAGTAGAGGTTTGGGTAAACTCTCTTGCCTACGTAGAACACCATTCTAATACTTTCTCTTCTTGAAAAGAAATATTAAAAATAAAAGCAGAATGACTAATTTTAAAACCCCAAAGCATGTCAACATATGTTCTTCATGATATTGTTTTATATTTTTTAAGTGTGCAATCAGTGTGCCATTTTGACTTCACATTGATGCCGATGCTTTACAGAGGACCGAATGTTTGCTCAATATGTGTGTTTTTAAGCAGAATGAGGGTGTTTACACACCCTCCAAAGATTCTATAGTGGATTGATGATTTGAAAGTCCATCATATAACATCTGTAAGAATGAATATGTTATTAATATGCATTTTAAAAGGACTCCGCTGCTAAAGAAGTAGACTTGAGTGTCTTTTAATTTTGAAACCAAAAGTCATAGTCTTGTCCAAATTTTTTTACTTTTTCCAGAAGTCCTTAGAGGGACTTTTGACATGGAGATGAAGCTAGTAGAGTTAAGGTCATTAAGGCCACAAAGAAACACAGTGCAGTAACTAGTCTACATACATAGTGAGCATTTGAATAAGATGCCAGCAAACTTCTATAAAGGTCAGATAGTATATATTTTGGGCATTGCAGCGGTTTTTGGTCTGCTTGGGCTGCCATAACAAAATACCATGGACTAGGTGGGTTAAACAATAGAAATTATTTTCTCATAGTTCTGGAGGCTAAAAGTCCAAGATTAAGGTTGCAGTTTATTAGGTTTCTGGTGAGGGCTCTCATCCTGATTGGCAGACAGTGACCATCTTTCTGTATCCTCATGTGGCCTTTCCTCAGTGCATTTACTTGGGCCTAGGGTTGGGGAGCAGGATCTCTCTTTTACCCTTTTAAGGCCACCCATTCTACTGGATTAGACTTAAGGGTGAAATACCCCACTTTAAGACTTCATTTAACCTTAATTACCTCCTCAAGACCCTATCTCCAAATATAGCCACATTGAGGGTTAGTTAGGACTTCAAATATGAATTTTGGAGGAAGACACATTCAGTCTATAGTAGCAGCCCACATATCTTTATCACAACTATTCAGCTTTGTCCTTTTAATGGGACAGTTGCCATTAACAAATGAATATTAATTATTTACATAATTATTTGTAGATACTGAAGTTTAAATTTTGTATAATTTTCATGTGTGTTATGAAATATTCTTTTGATTTTTAAAACTGTTTAAATATGTAAAAAACATTCTTAGCTTGCAGGTCATATAAAAAGCAGGTGGCAGGTTAGATTGGACTATAGTTTGCCAACTCTTGATTTAGAGGCTGGTTCTCTTTTCAGAAGGGTACTTAGAGGACAATGATAAACTAATTTGACACTATTTCTCCGTGTGTGTTATAGGTGCTGAAATTTGACGCCTATTTCCAAGAAGATGTTCCTGTATCAACTGAGGAACATTATAGGATTCGCCAAGTGAACATTTACTACTATCTAGAAGATGACAGCATGTCTGTCATAGAGCCTGTTGTAGAAAACTCTGGGATTCCTCAAGGCAAGTTAATCAAACGCCAGCGGCTAGCTAAGAATGACCGGGGAGACCATTACCACTGGAAAGACCTAAATCGAGGAATAAACATCACAATTTATGGCAAAACTTTCCGCATTGTTGACTGTGACAAATTCACACAGGTATAATATAATATATATTTTTGTAAGTTGTGGGGCCTAAGGCATCATCATTCTAATTTATGGAAAGATACATTTCACGTATTAGGGTAAGGGGAGACACTGGTGATCTGTCCTGCTGTGAATTATTATGCAGGTTAATTAAGTATTTATGTGTGTGACTGCATTGATATGTACCAACACTATGTAGAAACATCGGATTTTTCAGAATGATATTGATACATATTCACTCAAAATCAAACTTTCTTCATAGCTGAATCATCTGGTAAGAAACAAGTTCACATGGAAGTTCAAATAGAGAGGAGGGGAGGTAGCACCCCTGCTGGGATGGAAGTATGGGAGAGGCATTGAACATGGGGCTAGGTCAGATCCTGTGACTCAGAATACCTGAGACTGAATGGTCCTGATAATGGCTGCACGTGTACTCAGAGCACCCAGAGCATTTGCAGAGTCCTGCTCTTCTGAGACCCACCAACTTGTGACTTTTCCAGTTTTAGGGAATTTCTCACTTTTTCTCTTCTTGCCCTTAAAGGCATTCTGTTTTCTCTCTCTTCCTTGTGGGACATTTTAGAATAATCTAAATAATCTACGTTCCTGACAGAATCCCTAAAGTAAGGTTACAAAAGGGCCTGATAACCTGTTGGAAGCAAGAGAAGGGAGTACAATGCCCCTAAATGCCGTAATCTGTAATCCTGCCATACCAATACACCATCTCGAGGGAAAATGTTGTTGTTATTCATTATCTCCAGTTCAATAGTTTTTATAGAAGATCACATTATTTTTATATTCAGAAGATGTTGGAGACTTCCTAATAAAACTTTAAGCAGTAAGATCACAAGCTAGTTAGCAGAAAACCTAGTACTAAACCCCACATATTCTGATTTGGAATTTTGTATATTTTCTACTGAATTGTGCAAAAGCAAGCTGCGCAATTCCAAAAGAAACCCAAATTTTAGGTTAACTTTCAGTTCCAGGATGTAAACATATATCATTAAATTGTTCTTTTTGTGATTGTCAAAAAAGGTACAGTTTATGGTGGTGCTTTTAAGAAGATGAAATGTCAAGTTGGATTAAAAAATATGACTCTGAAAATAATATATTTATTCATAATTATTAAAATAAAATTTAACATCATGTCAAATTCAGATACTTTAAAAACTTTTTTTGGTGAAATTTGAACCTGTCCTATTTTATCTTTCCTATTTTGTTAAAACATTTTCTGGTCTAAAATAACTAGTGGATATGCTTCCTTTATCTGGTAGGGAGAAAATATTTAATCATAGACAGTATTTGCTTTAAGTGAGTTGGAGAGTTGGGAACATAATGTCAGCCTAACTTGGCCATTGTGTAGCTTGCCTTCATGCCTAATATGAATTATGTGGTGTTTGAAGCCATAGTTAGGTTCCTAATAGATGTATTTAAGCGAGCCTAGAACTTATTCTGTTCTTGGGCACCTAACTAAATTTGATGGATCTAAATACATATTTGAATGCAATCACTTTGCCACCATGCCTTCAACTAGCTTAGCAAATACCCAGCAATTTAACAGTATAAGGTGTTTCAGGCAATTATCAATTGTGAGCTGTATTATAGAGTTGGGTCAATTGGAGACTTAATACAGCTTAGATATGCTCAAGCAGCAAAGTAATGGTTAACCTAAACAATGGCATGGAGATTATCATTACACTTATTTTTATACTATCAGTTTATTATTTACTCTAAGAAAGATGATTATTACTAATTTTGAATTACATAGGCATTTTTAGAAAGTCAAGGAATTGAATTGAATCCACCAGAGAAGATGGCTCTTGATCCTTACACTGAACTCCGGAAAGAGCCTCTTCGTAAGTACATCACCCCATCGGACTTTGATCAGCTCAAGCAGTTTCTCACCTTTGACAAACAAGTAAGTGATATAGGCACCTCAGTAGGCTTACTTATTTCCAAAGGTGGCACATATTTATTGGCAAGCTGTTTGGGTAACTGTATTAAGTATTTTGAAATATTACCTCTGTAATTTAACTGTTTGGATACAGTGCAACCTTTCTGTTTTCATCTGGGGTTAGAGATGTGAGAATGCCTAAATTTCATATTAGAGATCCAGAGAAGATTGTGGAGTTAAGTTTTGTGAATCCCACCAAACCTTTAAATCTAAAAACCATTCCTGAGCTACATCTGCTTCTCACTTTGCATTTCCAGTTGACCATTTACCTCCCCCAATTGAGCTAATCTTATAGAATCCTTTGGGAAACCTTAAATGAATTATTGGGAAATTTCAAAGCTGTTGCATATATGTAGGTTTCTAATGTTAAAATAGTTAATGTCACAGAAACCCTGTTGCAGATGCTTCCCTGTTAAATGTTATGTTAATGTTGGAGTACAGAATGTTCTGAGCTTTTTCAAACTTCATTCCAACCTTCCTAATTTTCTCCCTTGTGAGCTGATGTGTATAAGCATATTTTAATCTTCTCCTTTTCATTCTAAAGGGAAGAGAAAAGGGAGAGATCACCCTCAACACTTCTTTACTGTTCTTTTCTGTCAGAAGTTTAACTCCTTTTAGTTAAGAAAATGCAACCTAGCACTAGCATGGTCTTTTAAGGATTTTCTTTATATCAGTTATATATCTGTTCTTATTTTGTATTTAAAGATTGTGTTGATGAACAACAACAACAAAAGACTAGTTAATAAGCGAAAATTCTTTCCATACTAATTATATGTAAACCATGCTCATCGATACCTCTATTAATATATATATGTAAACTACTGTACATTGCTCCTTTAATTCAGCTTCTCTTTCACTGACTAATATTTTGGATCAGAGTGAGCTCTTCTTTCTTGGCACAAACTTAAAATCCTATTATTTAATTCTTTCCAGCTGCTGACATCTGGTACATAATTTCAGATTGTGTTAGTGTCTTTGATGAGTATTAGTTTTATTCATTTTACCATCTGAGATTACTTCATAGTCTTTCCAGCTAATTTTCTCATCATTGTCTGATAAATAAATGCCAAAGTAGCTATGTTAAATTCTCCACTTTTAGGATTCTTACTTGAGTCACTACTCTGAATTCCACAAAGGTTCTTCGATTCTATGCAATCTGGGATGATACAAATAGCATGTTTGGTGAGTGTCGGACCTACATCATTCATTACTATCTCATGGATGATACGGTGGAAATTCGAGAGGTCCATGAACGGAATGATGGGCGAGATCCTTTCCCCCTCCTGATGAACCGCCAGCGCATGCCCAAGGTTTTGGTGGCAAACACAAGTATGTTTTATTCAGTTTATCCTCTTACTTGAAATTTTTTTAGGATCTTAAAAAGTTGCTTAATCAGTGTAGTTATTCCTTTTCACTTGGGAGGCTTTATCTATGTTCTGAGCATTCCTAGATGCTCAGAAAATGGCTTTCCTAAGCTTTCCTCCCTTGGTCCAGGCATGCCTCCTGGTAGAGATGACTGATACCCAGCTCAAGGAAACACTACCAAACAGCAGTGGAAGATTCACTTAAAGTGCAGTAGAGCAAGGCTTCTGAACTGAAACAATTTAATGTTAGATTTTTAATACATTTTTCTTTGTTTTGTTTTATTTATTTATTTTTTTAGTTGGAGTCTCACTCTGTCACCCAGACTGGAGTGCAGTGGCTGCTCCCGGCCACCGCAGCCTCGACCTGCTGGGCTCCAGCGATCCTTCCGCCTCAGCCTTCCAAGTAGCCAGAATTACAGGCATGCGCTATCACGCCCGGCTGATTTTTTGATTTATCGTAGAGATGAGGTCTCGCTGCCCAGGTGGGTCTCGAACCCGCAGGCTCAGGCAATCCACTCACCTCCGCCTCCCAAAGGTGCGGGATTACAGGCTGAGCCACTGAGCCCGTCTAATACATTTTTCAAACAGCCCTGTTTTTATTCAAGGATATAGCTTAGCATTTCCTTATATGCTTTCCTGACTTGGCTTCTTACCTCAACTGCTTCCTAAACAGGAAGTTTCTATGAGGCTTAATTTGAGATTGGAAAAGGCATGTCTGTGACTCAGAGAGGTGGAGTCCATTGTGTCAACCCCGGCTCTTTCTTTGCTGGTTTAAAATTACCTAGCACATTGGAGAGTGACAATGTGACAAAATGGCAGTAAATGCCTGCTGCTCACTATTTCCTGAGACAAGTAGGCTTGCTTTAGTTATTGACTTAGTAGTTAAATACTTTTCTCTTAGATAAATGTCATCTTGGTAATATGTTAATAATGTCTCTCATGTTTGGGTGGCTGACAGAATTCTGTAAATATTTTCACTTTTTACTATACTTTTGGGAACTAGGAGATAAGAAAATCCAGGTATTGAGCAAGAAGTTTGTCCAGATTAGAGGTTATAAGCAAATGAATAGTATGAGGCTAAATTCAGCCTACCCACATGTATTGCTTGGCCTGCACAGTTTTTTTTTGTTGTTTTTTTTTTTAATGTAGTGTTATTTGTGGGCAAGGAGTTGGAAGTTTTCATCTTTGGGAGAGTAGATAAACAAAATGTGGTGAAGATACATTTTTATTAATATGCAGTAGTTAGAATCAATAAACAATACACAGAAAGCAAATGAATGAGTCTTAAACACATAGTGCTAAATAGGAAAAAAGGAAGTAAAATGAGATGTGTAACTCAATAACACATAATGTGAAATGCATGCAAAACTTAGTACACATAGTGCCCATTCCATCAAAAAGCTGCACGTTAGAATGGTTGTATGTGAGGAAGAGGAGGATCAATTGAGGGAAAAGGATAAAAGGTAGTAACAGTTGTCATCATTTTAAAATTAAGAAAGCTCACATTAAATATCACTTTAAAAAAATGAGTATAACTGTGAATATACCTTGAATAGCAACAGCTATATCTGTGCCCTCATTCAACGTGGTCTGCGTACTGCCTACCACACATATTCTTGTATTCTGCTCCCTATAGAGCCCTCTAGAGTTCACTGACACTGAGACTAAAATACTAATTTTAGCCTTCCAGAACGCGGAAACTAGCCTCATCTGGAGCTAACATAGGTTAAATTTATAGTAGGTAAAGAGAAAGAATAGGAATAGATTCAGGTGGCATGAAAAAAATCTCACTGATACTGAATCCCTTGAAATCTCAGGTTCCAGGTTTATCACTACCTTATCAAGGGGACCTGTGTTTAAAATGTTTTAATGCATGACCATTCTCTTTTATAACCTCCCAATTAAAAAATTATCAAAGTTGTATGAAGGGGCAGGCTGGTGACATATGTTGGTTCCTTTTAAAGGGCAGGAAGCATATCTTTGTGTGAAAGTCACTGTTAGTCATGAGGTAGCAGTACAGAAAGGGCTATGCTGCAACCAGCCAAACAATCCTTTTAACTGGAATGGTGGTGATAAAGGAATGCCATCTAATTAACTCTCAAAAGCATTTATCCAATAAGTGACTTCTAGTAAATTCAATTAAAGAGTTAAATATCTGCTATGGGAGCCAATTTATGTGCTAAGTGCTGCAGAGGATAAAATGAAAATGAAAATCCCAGTCCTTCCTCTGGGGAAAACAGTGTGGCGATTTCTAAAAGATCTAAAAATTGACATTCCATATGACTCAGCAGTCCCCCATTGGGAATATACCCGGAGGAACTCAAATTATTCTATAAAAAAGATAACTGCACATGCATGTTTATTGTAGCACTATTCACAATACAAAAACATGGAACCAACTGTGCTACCCATCAAAAGAGGACTGGATAAAAAATGTGGTACATATACATGATGGAATATTATGCAGCCATAAAGAAGGACAAAATTATGGACTTCACAGCAACTTGGTTGGATTTAGAGTCTATAATATTCAGTGACCTATCACAGAAACTAAGAACTGAGTACCACGTTTTCTCACTCATAAGTGGACCCTGAACATTTATCATAATACTACATGAAAGGGATTAGCAGTAGTGAGTCACCGCTAGGGGAGGAGGGGGAGCATTAAAAAAGCATAAGCATTAATAACATCAATAAAGTACCTAATTCCCAAACCAGGTGAAGTGAGGACCAATGGGAGGCCCAAACTTCACTTAAATGGTATCTACTTATTTACCTAACCCTGAATCGTACCCCACATCTTTAAAATAAATTTTTTAAAAATTCCAGTTCTAGAATTCTGCCCTTCAGGCATTTCTGGTGTCATTAGGGAGACAAGTCAACGTCATATAAAATACACAAAGCTGTTAAATAATAACACGAGTATACCAGTTTGCCTGATTATGTATTGAGATGTGTCTTGCAGACAGAGGTCAGAGATAGAGAGATGTGGGCCCGAAAGACTAAAGAATTCTTTGTGGAAGAGCTGCAGTTGGACCCAGAATCAGAACGGCAGAAAACAAAGTGAGAGTGTACTCTAGCAAGAGGAACAAGAGCAAGGGTTGGGAATTAGGAATGAGTATAGCATGTTTGGGGGCATCCAAGAGATGATGTTTAGGCAGAGTTTGTGTTGGACAGTAATAGAAAATTATGGGATTGTCTTTCAAAAGTTCTCTCTGCCAGGGCCTTCTTTTACGTAGTTTAGATGAATCAAAAAATCATGTTTATGATGGATGAAGTTAAAACATCAGGAATTCGGAAAGTTATTTCTTTGTTGAGGTAATTGCAGGTAATTAGGTGGCAAGTAATGTCAAAATGTGTATTTGGCTTACTAGAAGACTTCTTCTTGGCTCTTGAACCCAAGGCACTGAGTTCTTGAAGTCTAGGTATGTTGATTATCCTTTAGACTGGCTTTTATAGTTTGATCTTGCCTTTTAAATGAATCGAGGTCAGGCACAAGTGGCCCATGCCTGTAATCCTAGCCCTTTGGGAGGCTGAGGTGAGAGGATTGCCTGAGGCCATGGGTTTGAGACCAGGCTGGGGCAACTTGGTGAGACTTTATCTCTACAACAAATTAAAAAAAAATTAGCTGGGCATGGTGGTGCGTTCCTATAGTTCCAGCCACTTGGAAGGCTGAGGCAGAAGGATCACCTGAGCCCAGCAGGTTGAGGCTGCAGTGGCCGTGAGCATGCCACTGCACTTCAGCCTGGGTGACGAAGTGAAACTCCAACTCAAAAATAAAAATAAAAAAATAAAAATAAATGAATTGAGAACACCTCTTAGACCTTTAGTGTTCCAAAAAGCTGAATGTTTTCCCTCAACCTCTGAGTATCTTTATTAGCTTTCTCAATCATTCAAATATATTAATTGAACATCCATGCTAAGAAGTGGAAACCTAAAACTAATATAAGCCCATATTTCAAAGACTTTCCAATCTGATGAGATAGGCATATAGATCAGTGGAATAGAACAAATTGTCCAGAAATAGATCCACACATATATGGTCATATGATTTTTTACAAAGGTAAATAGGCAATTTGGTGGAGAGAGAATAATCTTTTAACAAATGGTCCTGAAACAATTGAATAGCCATATGCAAAAACAAACAAACAAGTAAAGCAATCTCAATCTCTACCTCCCAATATATAAAAATTAACTCAAGATGAATCATAGATCTACATGTAAGAGCTAAAAACCACTAAAAGTCTAAAAGAAAACATAAGAAATTTTTGTGATCTTGGGTTTGGCAAATATTTCTTAAATGCAACACAAAAAATACAAACTATAAAATAAAAAGTCAGAATTTAAAACATTTGCTTTTCAAAAGACACTTAGGAAAATGAAAAGAGAAGCCAAATATTGGGAGAAAATATTTGTGAAACGTATTTGACAAAGTACTTGTCATAGTATATATCAAGTGCCTCTTAAGCCTCAGTAACAGTAAGACAACCCAATTAAAAAATGGGTAAAGGATTTCAACAGATATCAAAGAATATATATGGATGGCCAATTAGCACACAAAAGATATTTACCACAATTGGTTGTCAGAGAAATGTAAAGTAAAACCAAATGAGATACTACTGTACATCCACTAGAATGTTCAAAATTAAAGACTGACCATGCTAAGCGCTGACACAGATGTGAAGCAGCTGAAACTCTCACATGCTGCTGGTGGGACTATAAAATGGCACAAGCATTTTAAAAAATAGCTTGATAGTTTCTTTTTTTTTTTGAGTTGGAGTCTCACTCTTGTCACCCAGACTGGAGTGCAGTGGCCACTCCCAGCCACCGCAGCCTCGACCTGCTGGGCTCCGGCGATCCTTCCGCCTCAGCCTGACAGTTTCTTTTTAAAAATTGTACATAATTCCTATGATACAACCCAGACATTTCTTTCTTAGGTATTTACCAAGAGACAGGAAAGCATAT